CTTATCAACAGAGATACAAGGTAAGGGGGGCAGGCCTGGGTGCGGTCATATGTATGCTTGGGCGAATGAGAACTATAATCAACACATGGGTATCATGATGATATCAAAGCGCAAAAGAAGACAAAACCGTACAAGGGCACGCCCTGGTGATAGGAAAATAATGTATAAATCCCAAACATTGACCGCCCCAACTACACAACAGGCCTACCACGCCTCTTCAACATCAAGGAGCCATTTACGAATGCCCTCCCGTAAGGTATTATCACCTCCGGTCTGTACTCGCCGGCGGTCCCGGTCTGTGGGCCCCAGCTCGCTATCATCTTCACGGCAGTGCTCCGCCGTTACACTGCGAACGACCTCATCGAGCGCGCTTAGGACAAGTTTGCGACACTCGGTCCGAGGAACCTCCGCCGGACGCATTTCGTCCCGGCTCAGAACATCTGACATCTGCTTGTCCTCAGCACGCCGCGTGCGTGTAGGCGACGGAGCCCGGGAGTGTACCATTGAAGAAGGCCCGCTCTGAGCGAGGACTCGCTCAAGAGCGTCAACGAGCGTGCCATCTAAATCCATCACGTGCTCCTCCACGAAGCGTTCTTCCACATCACTTGAGCCGAACTCATCAGATGTAGAGCTGGCAGACGATTTGCTAGAAGCGGTAGCTTGGGAGAAGAAGCTGGTCAGCTGAGACGCAGACGCCGAGCCGCCAGAGACATGACGAGGTGTGCCCGGTTGGGGAGAGAATGAAGGCGATGTGTTGCGCCAAGACGCACTACCGACTTTACGACGTAGCCGCAGCCGCTTCACCGTGAAGGTTCGCACATCAGCAATGAGAGTGGTCGCAACATCAACCCATCGTCCGGATCCGTCCGCATCAAGGCACGCGGCTTGGCTTGACATCGGTTCTGCTTGCATGGCGCGCTTGATGTCTGCCTCGAGCCCATTATAGGGTCGAACCGCTTGAAGCAAGAAGTCATCATGGAAGCTCTTCAACCAGCCAGCAACGTTGATGTTGGGTCCATCACTGTCTTTCAAGGTAGAGGGAAAGCCAGATGTGCTGCTGTGCGTAGACGCCACGGCATCAACACTAGTGACTGACGTTCGCGTCTTCTTCGGGGATGCCATCGTGGAATCACCAGATGAAGAAAGCGAAACGAACCCGGGCAGAGGAAGATCAACATCAACAATCCCATCATCGCCTCGGACCGACAATTTCAGCGACGACTCTCTCGCTTGGTCCGCAGCCGCAGCCTCATCTGGAGCATCGTCGTCTTCATATCCCTTGTGAGCATTTGAAGGCTGCGGGATGGAGATATGGTTGCTAGTCGCGCTTTTCGGAGAGACTTCGGTAGGTCCGAGCGAGGCCTCTTTGACCATCTGACTCAGGGTGGGAGGGCGCCTCGGAGGGTTTGTGTACGCTGACACGGACCGTTTGCGGGTGTCGGTTGGTGCCACAGATTCGCTGTCACCAGTAGACGATTCCTGACGGGCGCTCCACAGACCGGAGAATATGTTGCCCCATCGACCATTAGCAGATGGCACACTGCCATTCGCACTAGTGTTTGTGCTTTCGCTTCGCTGGAGGCTCCTCAGCAGCGTTTCCGACGCGAGGCTGTCAGGCCCATCGGCCACTGCCTGGTCCGACCCTGCACGCTCGGAGCGGCCCTGAGAAGCAAAGTGGGGGACCGGGACAGTACTACCAGGGGTGGTGGTCGATGTTGTCGCCGCACTTGTATTCCTCGCACGCATATCCTTGGCGTGAACGGGCACGCCTAATGCTCGAATGGAGCGAGCGTCGGACCCCCGGCGCATGGTACTGAACTCCGGTGTCACGGACGGCTCGGCATCGTCCGTGGAGCGATGCGCCGTCTCGCACGACGAAACGCTCACGGACCGCTGGTGCTGTTCTCTATCACTAAGAGTGAGGCGCTGTGCGCGGGATCGACGTTCCATCACTCTCCGTAGGGACTCCTGCCGCAGAACCGGGACATTTGGCGGGCTCTGAGAAATGGCTCTCGTCGACGCTGCGGTACCCGGCCTGATAGGGGAAGGCAGAGGCTCGAAACGCTGTTTCGGTGGAAGAAATACAGCAAGCAAGAAAATAAGTCGCCGCGCCGTCATCTTGTCAGACGATATAATGACAGTGCGGTGAGCAAGAAGCGGGTCAGAATCCTGCTGCGCCTTCTGTTGTAAATAATGCCTCCGTCGGTACCACTCGGGGCCGAGAGAATTGAGCCACTCAGTATGGTTACCCAGGAATGCTGTAATGAGAACAAGAAAGAAAAAGCTGTGATCCTTATCCCCAATGCTGCGAATGATGGAGCGGCCCTCCTCACGCCACACGCCCCACCGATTCTGGCCGGTTACGACGAATGGCATCTGCAGCGCCGTGCTAATGCGACGGCTGCTGCGGATTGCTTCGTCTCGTAGCCTGGAATTCACGGCCAAGATATTCGCAGGCAGGTGGACAAATGTTTGATTTGTTCGTTGCATATTTGGAGGCTTAGCTGGCTTTGGATGCATGGCCGAAGAAGAATCTACCTTCTTAAGCAGAAAGAGAATTTCTCTTCGTGACAGTCTCTCCAAGTGTGAGAGGGCGCGGTTGATGACATCCCAATGATCAACCAGAAGATCAATGCGCTCATCCAGGCTCGCAGGCGGGCTTGCAAGTGACAAACTGTCATCGAGGAACCCTCCACGGAAACGATAGTCGGAATCCAGGGAGCACGACATTCCCGGTTTGGGAGAGTCCGGACCCTGAGCATTAAACCGAGAAACTGGCCGCCCTGCGTTTCGAGAGAGAAGCGGAATTTGAATAGTAATCGCCACAGCATACATCGGTGTCTTTTTCTCCTTGATCTTCCGACGCTTCGTGACGTCTGGAAAAGGAAAACCGCTGTTCGGAAGAGACTCCTGGTTTATAGAACCAGCCGGGTTCATGCCATCCGGAGACGTCTCGCCACCTTCGGGCAGATGCACGCTGAACATTCTAGTCAGAAGTATCGTGACCTTTGCTGGAGGTCTGGACTCATTACCGCGGTTGGTGCTTGTAAAGGCCGATTGACTTCCAGTTGTATACGCCCGTGACAGCGAGTTGCGGGTTGCAGGAGATGTAGGTGCAGTTTTGCCCGGTTCATCATCGGCAGAGATGATATGCATCTTCGTCGACGATCCCCTATAGCTAAACGCACTGCTGCCGAAAATGCAATTCAACAGACCCGTGTCATTCGAGTCCGCAGCATAGCGAGGGTGGCCAGGTTCATTATAGCTTCCCGCCGGCGATAAGGTGGAACTACGACCACGAGCCCTCATGAAAGCGCCAGACGACATGGGAGGTGACCTCCGAGCCTCCGCGGCGACCGAGAGTGGGCTTGGCTCTGCAGCCGACGACTGAGACAAATAGCCCCGCCGTGTTCCACGGGTAAGATTTGAAACCGTACGGGCATGTCTCGCACCGGTGGTATTGTCAAACACCTGAGGTTCCAACCCAAGTCCCATGGAAGTCTGATCCTGCGAACTGGCGCGTGTGTCCAACAGGACACAAGCGTCCCGATCTCCCAGCGCATTTTGTGCTATTATCACCCGGAAATCCTTCAACGGGTCCAACTCGACACCGCCGCGATCATCATAGGCACCAGCCGTAGAAGCGTTCGGTGAATTGTAGGCAGTATGCAGCGGATATGCGTGCGTATGGGAATGTCGGAGAAGACTAGCATCGGGGAATAGTAAGCCGGATGTATGTTCCTCCTCCGTGACGGACTCCAGTTGATGAGCGTTTTTGGCGTTGTAGGTCGCCGGATTGAGAGTAGCCGCGGCAGTGCTCAACAGTCGACCCAGCATGTTGGCAATTCGGAACAAGGTAAGCCTGAGCACTCGAGACGAAAAAGCAAACAGAAAATGATTAAGCTAGGAAATCAAGGCAAGAAAACAACACTCAGACAGATATACTAGACTGAGCTGCAGCACCCATCGTTCAATCCCGCCGAATGTTAACCATGATCAAGCCATCCAGAAGTGATGATCGGGGGAGGGCGCCTTCTTTCACGGTGGAGGCCAGACACGCCCACTTGCAGAGGGATGGACAGCAATAGGAGTAGTAAGTGAAGTAAAGGAAGTAGTTGTAAAAGGAAGTAGTAGAAGTGAACTAGTGGTAATAGTGACTGCCCGTGTCCAGAAGGGGGTTAGTCAGCCGTAATTGGGCCGGAAAGAATCAAGTGACTGGGGATGGGATCGAAGCCAATCGATCCAGATGAAATTAAATCGACTTCCCACTGCGGAGAGAGACGCAAACAAGTGGGAATGAATTGGCAGGGCCGGGGGGGATCAATGAATTGGCCAGAGGGGAAGGGGAAAGGAAGAGGGAGGGAGGAGAGGGAGGAGGAGGGGAATATTGGGGAAGGAAAGCGAAAGGGAAGAAGAACGACGAGATCCCGAAAGGGCGGTGAAGCTGGCCGTACCGCACATGATCTCAGCCTCATCTCATCGCGGCCGATCGCCTGCAACTTCACGGCCTTTTGGGCCTGTCAGCGCTCGACTGCCCCCCTGCACACGGCCGAATCCGTCACACAATCACCTCATGCTGCATGGGCCAGGCAGCGTTTGGGCGGGAATCTGCGCCAGTCGGGATTGCAAGCCCGCTCAACCCACTCTGATTCACCAGGTTTTCCTCCGTGAATGCCGGATCTATACACTGCGTTTCATTACTCGCCTACGCCCGTCATGGGTCGGACATGGTGGAATCAGGGGGAAGAGTGGCCTGGACTAATGAGAGCCACAGCGACAGGCCGAAATAATATTACAGCAGCTACAGTGCAGGGGTACACAGGGAACACACAATGACATTGCCGTCCAGATCACAGGCAGACGCTCAAAATCTCTCAATTAACACACAAGAACCTTTAGCCAATGGTATCTGCATCCTCATCCCAGTGATGACGCTTTCATGATAGATGAGTAGTAGGAACAGTAAGTAGTAGTAGTCAACTAAATATAGTACAACCCAATCAGTTGCGTTTGGTCTTTTGCTTCACCTTTTCAACCAGCTTCTTCAGATCGTCTGACCCGCCCTCCTTGGACGCACTCTTCTTCTGCTTCTTCTTTTGTTCACGAGGAGCATCCTCCTCGTCTGCATGTTCATCCCGATCCCTGCGTCGCTTGCGACCCTCCTCCAACAGTGCCTTCATACCCGAAGTCGCCTTGAATCGGGGGTTGGTGGGATCGATCGCGAACTCGTGGCTCTCGTAGAGTCGAGCGAAACGAGGATCGGTGACTTCCATCTCGAAATCATCTGTGGGAACTTCGACTTGCTTGCCCTTACCCTTGCCCTTCTTGCCCTTCTTGCGAGCTTGTTTCTCCGCCTTTTCAATCTCGTTCATATCGAAGTGCTTGATGCCTGGCTTGTTGTTGTCCTCCATCATCAGCAGCTCCAGCTCCGCCCGCTTGGCTGCGGCCGCGGCTTCCTCCGCTGCACGCTCCTCCCGCTTCTTGCGCTTCTCTTCCTTACGACGAGCAGCCTCAGTAGCCTTGCCAGTAGGGTCATCGAAGAAGGGATCATCAAAGCCCAAGTCGTCCTGCTGGGGCTGCTCCTTAGCATTCGAGGCATCGGCGGCCTCGTCCTGCTCGCCATCCTCACCACGCTTGGTGGCCTTGAGCTTCTCCTTTCTGCGCTTCTTTCTCTCACGCTCTTTGCGGATGTACTTCTCGATCGTAGTCTCATCCTTCTCGGGTTCGTTCTCGAAGATGCTGTCGCCCTTGGGGCCACCAGCCAGACCGGAAGTGAAGGTAACCTCCATCTCACCAACGGGGCCATCGGACTTGGACGAAGGCGTAGGCTCCGCACCAAGACCAAGTAGGGCTCGAAGACGTTGTTTCTCTTCCTCCTTCTTAGACACCTTTTTCGTTTCTCCATCGCCGCGCGTAGTATCAACAATCTCCACACCACCCTCATCTTCCTCATCGTCTGAGCTATCACTGGCCAGATAAGCCTTCAAGTCGTTCTCGTCGATATCCTTGCGACTACCCCGGAAGGCCCGAGCCTGGGCTTCCTTGCGCGACTTATCCTCCATATCCCAGGTCAGCTTGACCTTGCTGTGCTGCAGCGCATCGGTGACGAACTCGTTCGGTTGGTATCCATCGGGGATGCGTTCGCACTCGTCGCGGGGCGTATCATCAGAGAAATCGGTGTCCTCAGGCACAAAGCGAAGATCGAAGAAGTTAGCGCTAGACAAGTACTCGGCGCCATCGACAAGGTCATAAACGTGCTTCGCAACGTCCCTGGACGAGAAAGTCAAGATAGCGTAGAAGTAACGTAGCCGTTCCAACTGATACTTCCGTAGCTGTGTCGAGTTGAACTCCTCGCCCTTATCCTCCTTCAGCATAGACTTCCTGATATTCTCTTCCTCCTCATCAGAATCCATCTCATCCTCATCGTCGGAGTCACCACCCTTCTTCGACGCAAAAATCTCCCTGGGCGGCCCCTCCGTCTCCTCCCTCTCCATCCTCTCTTTGCCAAACTCACTAGGATAAACAGCCACCTTCAGCACTTTCCCACCAGTCGGCGCAAAGCTGGAAAAGACAGCCATCAGGTCCTCCGCGCGAATATTATCCCAATCGAGATTCACCACCGCAATACGGTCCGTAACATCACCAGTCGGCACATCCGCGCGCTGCTTATCAGGGTATTCCAGCTCCTCGCCAAACCCTTCGAACTCGTCTTCATCCTCATCTTCCTCGTCGGAGCTCTCCTCCTCCGAGGAAGAAGACTCATCGAATCCTCCATCTCTGGCTGGATCGTATGTCTCCGCCTTCCTCAGCTCTCTAAGCACCTCCTCATCATCTGCAACACTAGCGTCCTCGAGACCATCATCTTCCTCTCCCTCGCCTTCTTCTTCTTCTTCTCCCTCCTGCGCTTCCTCATCCAGCTGGTAGAATCGCTCAAGCTGTTTCTTAGTGTCGTCGCTGGCGAGCTTCCGGCCGTATCTATCGACTGCGGCATTGCGGGAGAAATCCTTGTCGCGCAGCATGTGCGCGAATCGCTTGTCGAGCTTTACATGAGTTTGGCGTTTGCTGGGAAGACGGTAGCGAGGGTCGGTTTGGATGTTGGCGAATCTGGGATCGGCTGATTGTACAGAAATATTATAGGTTAATCATGTGTAACATTTCATTTTGAGAAGGTAGAATGGGTTGATCGTGAGGTACGTACTGATCACCGAGCCGGAGTCATTTTTGGCGGCGCCGCTCTTCTTGCCTTTCTTTTTGTGGTCAGGCATGGTGACACGCCTGTCGGCAATGGAAGGTAATTCTTATAGGGTGAGTAGGAAAAAGAAATTTGAGCACCCTCTGGAAATAGAAGAAGAGTGGATTGGTTCTAGGATGTTTGCTGAAAAAGTGATGATCATGGATAATTTTCTGGCGGCGGAACCAAAGATTCTTCGGCGAGCCTTGGATATGGTCCGTGCGTTTCTCCGAAGGTTCAGGTTAACTCCGTCGTCTACTGCAGTGCCAGCACATGCTCATATTATGTTTTATAGAATTTTTTTTCTATTATATCACGTATGTATAGTGAGATGCGTATATATAAGCCCATTTCCACATTAGCTTACGTAGCCCAGGTTGAAATTTGCGACCATGACTCAACAGCCAAAGTATCTCTTCTCAATCCACCGAGGTTCGCGCTCCTCCTCAATCCGTCCAACTATAACCTTGATTCCAGGGAACACTGTTGTCAGTCGCTTCAATCCAATCTTTCCTGCAGCGCAGGTCACGAAAATAATCTTATCCTCTTGAACACCGTGGTCAATCATAACACGAACCGCCATTAGAGCAGCACCTCCACTGGACATCTGGGGGTCGAGGAGCATGACGTTTTCGTGGTTCTCAATATTGGGAGGGAGCTTCAGATAGTGAAGCTCGGGTTCTTCGTTCTTTTCATTGGTCTGGATCAGCACACGACCAGTGATGCAGTCAGGGATGGTCCGCTTGAGAGCGGTCTCGAGACAAGAGCCTCCGCGCAGAATCGCGACGGCAGACACTACACCAGCTTGGTTCAGGCCATCATAGCTAGTCGATTGAGGCGTATCCACTGCTTGTGATACGTAATTGGTCATATCCAAGGCCCTGTGCAGTAAGTTACGCATAAGCTATTGTTCCACAGTATCACGCGATGTTCGCAAAGGATAGCAACATAACTCACTTTTCAATCAGTAAAGCAGCAAGTCGGTCGAAGTAGAACACAAAGTCAACTTGTTCTGTTGCCGGGTCCTGGAGGATAGTGTTCATGCCAACGAATTGCGGCGTTTGGGGCATCATCAAGACGTTAGAAGATAGCTGCTCTTCCGAGGCGATGAGACCAAGCCGGTTGAGCTCTGCATTATGCTTCTCTGATTTCTCGTCAAGCTTGCGCTGAATATGTTGCACAACCATTTCTACAGCAGAAGTTAGTGTGAGATCTCCCGAAAGAAGGAGCAGAAACTCTTACCAATAGCCGTTCGGTTTTCAATACCACGGGGAATAATGATGTCTGAAGCTTGTCAGACCCGGTTCAGCTTTTGGAGAACATCCACATACCAGACACAGCACGTTGGGGTTCGACGTATTGCTTGTATGATGGCTTCACATAAGTGAACCACTGCTTGACGATTCCTTCGACGTCTCTTCCTCTCTCACGAACATCGCGCATGACTAGCTTCCTCTCCGTTAGAGCAGTGGCAAACGGTTGAAGAGTAGGATAGACTGACTTCTGCGCCCCAGGCAGACATCCATGTCTGCTTCAACAAAGATCTATCAAGAGCAGTGAGCGATGGTTCAGATACAATAGATGGACGGAAATTACCTTGACATCCAAAAGCTCCATGATCCTCGGGTCATGCAAGGCCAGAATACCCTCCAGAATCAACACGCGTGGGGAATACAGGGTACTCGTTTCTGGCTGACGCTGGTGTTCTGCAAACGAGTAAATGGGGATATCTGCTTTTTTTCTAGATGGTTGGAAGGTTTCCTGTCAGCTTCCATATATGGCACGTGCCCCACCAGGAATTACAGAAAGAGGCTCATATACCATACCCTTGCTTCAAATCCCTTAAGGTTTGGACCAGGACATCAAAGTCCAGAGACTCCGGACAGTCAAAGTCATATTGATTGCGGTGGGCTCTGGCATGATCCTCCGGGGACAAGCTCTTGTAGAAGGAGTCCTATACCACACCGCCGTTAGAGAACACGAAGTGGAAGGATTTATTGTAGGCTAAACAATTATGAAAGCGGTCGCATATACCATTACGAGAATCACAACCCAGGGAAGATTCAGAGACTTCACAATCTCCATGGCCACCGAAGTCTTGCCGGAGCCGGAGCTGCCTGCGATACCGATGATACTCAAATCCGCCCATGGTGGAGAGTAGCGTCTGTCTGTCGCGGACGAGTATACAGGGGAGATTGACTGCATCTTGCCGACCCTCACCGAGGAACTGACCTGCCGAAACGAAAGGGACTAGTGACAGGCCGGCCTAATCATAACCTGGAGGGGGGAGGACAAAAGCAAAACTCAGTGGGACACCAGCAGCAGAGAAGCGCCGGCGACACAAGCTTTGGAACACCGATAAGAGAGACTTCGGCGATACACTCCAAATCCAAAAGGGACCAAGTGATCGGCGCTTTCCCCAATCGGGCCTAGGCGGGGGCCGTGACCTTCGCTTGCGGCTTTAGGCTTAGCTGGTGAACGTGACCTAACACCCGCCGCTTTTTCTTCCTTTAAAGAGCTCTTCCTTCCCGCCTTTTCTTTTTCTTCTTCTCTCCTTCTCTTCACTCACTCCCTTCTGCCCCGAGCATCCTAATGGCTCCCGTCTGCGAAGCTTTCCATCTTCACAGACGGCCTGTTGCTCGCTACCAGGTCACTTGACATCCCACTGCGAAATTCCGCATCCACTAAGCTCTTCACCATGTCCTCTGCCAATTACGTATGCGCCCTGACATGCCGTGTGTGCCGCGTGGTTGCCTGGTTTTAACGGGAAGCAGATGTCTCCCTCTTCCTCGACGACGCCAACATGGCATCAGTTCGAACGGAAGGTTGAGGAGGTAAAACCATCCAAAACGTGAGTGATTTACCCCACCTTTCCGTTGCGCGCCACGATTGCATGATGTACCTTGAAATCAAGTTGGGAATCTCTCTGAAAAACAACTGAGGAGAATATATTAACTTGTGTTTCTGAACCCTTCGTTTGATTTTGCCTTATCATCATCAAGTTTACCGGTTGGTCTGCAGCTGCTAACTGTTCTCTTGAAGTGATATCAATTATCTAGTCATGGATTACCTCATCACCAATGGCTACCCAGCTGCTGCGAAGAAATTCTCAGTAGAGGCCAACATCCAACCCAGGGCAGATATCGAGTCGATTCAAGAAAGAGTTGACATTCGAACTGCGATTCATTCTGGGAATATTCAGGTCGCCATTGAGAAGATCAATGAGCTCAACCCACAGGTAAGACACCTCTTTTATCTCATCCCCTACCCACCACCCTCGTTGCAAGGATTATACGACGTTTCATGCACCACTCAGAACATCCCTTTTGGGGTTTGTTGATAAACAAACATCTTCAGTCCTCAGTATGAGCAGCAAGAATAAAACATGCCGTTACTTGTCATCACGCCTATTTCATAGCCTTTTGCTGACTTGACCGGCTTAGATCCTAGATGAAAATGCTCCTTTACATTTCGCATTGCTGCGACTGCAGCTGGTGGAGTTGATTCGCTCGTGCATCTCTTCCCCCGATGGCGACGTCAGCCCTGCCCTTGAGTTTGCGAGCTCCCAACTTGCACCGCGGGCACCCACCAACCCCCAGTTCCTTGAGGACCTTGAGAGGACTCTTGCTCTCTTAATATTCCCGGCGGATAGCCTGTCCCCGCCACTTGCCCCTTTACTACACCCCGACCTTCGTAAGGATATTGCCAACCGCGTCAACGAAGCCATTCTGCTGAATCAAGGCGCTCGTAAAGAGGCCCGGCTACGCAACTTGGTTAAACTGCGCGCGTGGGCTGAACAGAAAGCCCGGGAGGCTAAGAAGGATATACCCGAGAAGCTGGACCTTGGACTGGGCGATAATCCCAACACCCACAACAGTAATCCCCTGGCCAATTCGACCAGTGCCAGTCACAATGGCTCTAACGACACCGTAATGACCAATAATGGGGATATCGACCCCATGATCTCATAAATCCAGGATTCGATCTGCGATCACCTGGCACTTAATCCTCAATTTTCACGTATCACCTCGCCCGAAGTTGTTTTTTCGCCATTGAGCACGGAGTTTGGGAGCTGGATAAGGGCAGAGATGAATCTTCATCGCCCTCTTGTAACATCTAAGGTCCAATACGGGGATACATTATGCATACCTTTTTGCGACTCTTGACACTTGTGGTCTTGTCCTACAGTTGTGTGCGAAGCAAGGATTGAGCCTGCCCAATTGAAATGGACCTCTAGCGGGTTTTTGAATTATTTATATGCAGCCAACTCTGTACAGCGTAGGGACTTTGGTACTCACGGAATCTTTGAATAGGTTGCTACAGACCGTGTTTTGCATATTGTTCTTGACAGCACAGTACGTCTTCTGTTTTTCTTTCTAAACTAAGTCCTCCATGACATGTGAATGACAATCATACCGTACTGCTGGAAGGGACCTCACGAAGCACGTATCTTGTTTCCATAAGGAGAATGCCTGTTTCCAAGAACTGGAGAGCAGCACGTTAATCTCCAATATATTAGTAAAAACAATAATGAAAAGGTGAATCCACCGTAGTAAGTAGTACTATTAGTGCTACTCAAAGCAGCAAGTTCAATTGAAGCTTGAAGCTGATCAGATGTGCTGCCAGACAATACCGAGAATATATATCTCCACCATCCCCTCACAATCGGCTAGTATCGATAAACGGCTTTCTACTACTACCAAGTGGTTGCCATGGTTCTAAAGCTCTCGTATTGAAGAAAAGGCGACGCGGGTATTTCTACCACTATTGGATTCTAGCAGACATATATTTGGCCCAGTTTCTGATCAAACAACAGTCCGTTTACACTGTCTAGTAGCCTGATACTAGCAGAGTCGTTTCAAGAGTTCTTCCAAAGTCCGAATGATATGCATGGCATAACATAAATCATCATAGGTAGCTGCAGCATACCCAATCAGTCAAACTATACTAACAACACTGCAAAAACACCTTAGGAACATCAACCATCTTCGACCGCAGAAACTCGCACGTATTCTTTCCCAAAACATTACAACTCGAAGATGAGTTATACCCCCGATCAAGATGGTCATGCAGCGAGGAATGCACTACTCTTATCCCAGTGTCTCGATTCGGTCGATTGGGTTGCCCGAATACTCAATAGGGCCCAGCAACTCTTTGATCTTATCAGTTGTGAGGAACGTCCTCAACCAGTCCCATTCATCTTGGTGTTTTACGTAAAAGCCCACTTTGCAGTTGGCACCTTCATCGCCGGCTCTATCATAGATAAAGGTCCCCAGGGGGGCTTTCACCGTCTCTCCGAATGTAGCAATGTCAACGGGGTTTTCTGTTTCGGGTGAAGGCTGGGTGCCGTATGCTCGAGTCACGGAGGGTGGGTCAATTGTGATGACTTTCTTCGGATCAGTTGCGAGGAGGTGTACCCTATGATTGAGGACTGCTTGGGGAAAGAGCCCGATGTTGTAGTTGTAGTATGGCTTTGTTTGGACTTGTCGGGGGTCGTTGCTGGGGGTTAGGGCCTTATAAGGTCTTAGCCACGGTTTCACACAACTATGGGAATCAGGTTTATTCCTTCAGTATCTCAGTACTAAAGCTTAAGAAGGAGCCAATTGAAGCAGCGTATGATGCCTCATGCATATGATTGATTGATTGATTGATTGATTGATTGATTGATCAAGGGATTACCCGAATTCAGCATAGCCAGGGTATTCCTGCCAGGACGCCTGCGGCTAGAGTGGCTAATAGCCGGACCAGGTCACGTCAGATTAATGGTATTTTCTATATCTTCTGTCAGGTTAATAATGAAACTTAAGAGAAATTATGTACCTGGCTGCGGTATAGCTAAAAAGGAGATAATCCATTATCGTGATTATTGTTAGTACCAATACTTGTCAAATATATCGCTGATCAACCACCACAACAACCCCAAAAAAAACCCATTGATTGGTAGGAAATCAAAGAGGAGAACATGCACGCATGCTCTGTGAGCGCTAGTTGCACTTTACATATTACAGGAAAAGGATACCGAATTAGTCCCCAACTGCATTCCTGTCTCCCTTCACTGGCTCACTGTGTGCATTGGGCCAAAAAATGTAATATAATCGCAAGAGGCCTATGGCAATGAGAGGAGTAATTGTAGTTCATGTAATAGCTGAGCGAAGTATTTATTCACATATGGACTGGGAACTGCCAATCAATCTAGCCGCCGATAACCAGAGCACGCATCTCAAACAACTGTCCATGATGATTGAAAACCAAAGACTGACTACTTAGCCAGTCCTAGCGCCAGTTAGTTACTATATTGTAGATGCATCCTGCAGAGCCTGTGGCTCGCTCCACACATATACATTCGTACCACAGAGCATGATCTTTGTCTACCTTCGGCTGCAAATGGAGTGTACTAAGCTAGGTTTCTGAACCAATAATACCATCAAGGGAGCAATCAACAAAGTGGGGAATATGCAGTAGACAGGAACACAATGCACTGTTGCAGAGAAGGAATGCTGAGAATAGGAGTCCCTTTTATCTTATAAGGGGAGGAGGGCTCAGCCAGCTGCCGCGGACCCGCGGAACATATTTCCTTCTGCTGCGAGGATTGGCTAGTTATGTATCATTTTGGATTTGCTTATTCACCCATTTGGTTCCGCCCGGTCCCATGTAAATAAGTAATATCTTGGGGGGGGGGGGGGGGGGGGTTGTGTAACCTGTTTGTCCTGCAGGGGGTTATGGACGCATTTCTAGTAAGTAACTAGGAGGTGACCCCTGTTAAGTTAACATTGAAAAGATCTGAGAGTTGTCCAAACCCAACCCTACCCCAACAGACATGCTTACCTGACGAAATGATGTACATTAGGCTGTGAATGGGTCACACATTCATCTATAACAGTAGTATTTGCATTGCAGGGATTCCAAGAGAAATACTAATTTAGTAAAGGTAAAAGTTAGCATTGGACGTAAATCCGGGGAACAGGGCCAAGCCACTAGAGAAGCTTGGCCATTAGACTTTAATCAATTGGTGATAAGCAAAAACCTTTGATATATTCCACTGTAGTCGGGTGCCACTTCACTGAATCCTCCGCCCTCTACAACCAGTCTCCTCCTCTTCCTCACTTATACCTCCGATCTTTCCGCCTCGATCTAGAGATATAAAGGACTCATTACTGAGCATTACTACAGGGCATGTGATAGGATGCAGCAAAAGGAATGTGTACTTCAGCAAGGTAGGGAGATCCGTCCCCAATGTAACTACGATTACTATAGTTACTAGAGATAAGTGCATATTCCCAACCCCTGCGGCTCATGAGAGTTGGTCTACTCACCCAGAAGATCTGACAAAAGCAGCCAGTAAATAATGTAAAAAGAGAGAAAGGAAAACTGAAAAGGACATATGCATACGCCCTACGTACTACTAGGCAGATACCATACATACTGTGAGAAACCGCATCCGCGGTTCTGTTCATTTTCTTTGAATTCCAGTTATAGCAAATACTGAGTAGAGTACTGAACAGCGTGATACATTGAACTTCTTTAATATATTGTGATTGTTAGCCGTAGATGACAAATATACTAACCTCTGTCTACGTATCAAGCTCAGCTGTGACTCATATCATCAATAACATTGGTTCAATTGATGGGTGGTGGTTGGTGGTTGGTTGAAAGAGGTGGTGGTCGGAGACCACGCAGGAAGAAGAGGTGGCGGAGGATCAGATGATGCTTGTCTGGCTGCAGCGAATGTCTCAATATTTACTTCTTGTCCTGAGGACTAAGGAATGGAGTGTATGTTTGGGGGAGAAGCTGGGGTGCTGCAGCCCCGCATTTTCGGTCTGCTTTTACCCCTTTCGCCCTATCAAGCAAAGCAATTGTAGTAACCAGGTTATTCAGGCTATGATCAGTCATGGGCTGATGCATCATATCAGCAATAGTGTCTCTGTCATTCTAATGTAAACCGAATTACAAAGAAAGTTGGTAGCATAGTTATCTAATTATTGGCTGTGTTAATAACTATCTATAATAATAGGGCTAACCCATCTGCGATCAGAAACATTGAGGGGTCATTGGGAAAGCAAGGAAATCTGGAGTAGTAGAAAACAACTGCAGTATTCTTACAGTAAGGGATGATAGCTCGACAGCCAGCCGACGGCTCCGTGGACCCCGGACTTTCTATTGCATTCTTGTGTGGAGACAGGCAGATTTTCTTATAGCTTTGCTATTTCAGTGCCACAAACGCGGTTTATTTTGGAATGTCGAACTTTTATATATGTAAATGTTTTCTGCATGAGAAAATCCTCTTGTGTAATTGGAGCTCGGATGGTGAGCATGCATACTAACTAGTAGTTATGGTTTGGAACTCTGAAAAATGCATCCATAGAAGGGGTAACCGGTGGAGAAGGGCTGCTATATGGTCAAGTTTCATTTCTTGAAATGGTGGTTACAGTGGGGGAGAGTACTATCACGTTAAGCTGATGTTAGCTAGAAAGTCAGCGGTAACGCAGCGGATGTATATAGAAGTGGATCACGAGGGAATTGCCCTTATTGGGATAGGCAGGAAGTTGCTAGTATCATTCCCGGCCAAGTGGTTGATACTATTATGATATACTAGCTGACACTCCATTTAATATGCTTAGCAGAGTCGTACCGTGTGGGATAAATCTCAGAGATAAAAGTGGAATCCCTTCGGGGTCTGATTGATTTGGATTAACATCGCCACCTTAGCGGGTGAGTAGATAGCCTAGAGAAGTAACAAAGAGCGAGTAGAATGCAACATCAGTCAGCGGTCTATATTTGTGGAAGCGTACCCCCGCTGGAACACATGAAAGATGGTTGATGCTATACCTCCGTTGTCTCATGTGCATTTTGTATGCCCGAGATGGACCTCGATTTCATACTACTCCACTATGGTGGCAGCATATCATCTCCGACTAGTTCCAGATAGGCTTGAGGACTATTCAATACTAGAAAGAGAAACGAGGAAGAAATATTCAGCTATTTACGTAGTAGTAGTTCATAGGGCATAAGTAGTAGATATAGAAGAGGGGGTAGTGTGGTGACTGCAGGTCACGATAATGTACGGCTCCCAGTCTAGTGACAGCAATCGATCAGGAAACCAAATGCACATCACAGCTAAAGATGGCAAAGAGAGGGAAAAGAAAAAAAGCACTTTAAAAGCTCATGAGATCTAAAGCAACCCATTAGCAAATTGATCCTGTAAAACAAAATGAAAGGGTGGAATCGGAAAACAGAAACTTACCTCTCCCAAACAACGCCCGTTTGGCCCAATCCATGGCCAGCATACACCTCGTTCTGAAGCTAACACTCTCGGCAAAGTAAACACTACGCCACAGGTACATCGCCAGGACACCACCGCTAAAGTTCAAACCGCCAAAGTCAAAGATAGCAGCATTGCTGATGTACGCCAAACTTCCCAAGTGCTTGTACTTGAAAGCCTTGTAGCACGCCTCATCCAGATCTCCATAGTCGATCTGGTTGGCCTGCATACCCGGCAGCGCTGCCGCAATCTTGGTCAGCTTACGGCCCAGGTACTCGCCCTGCTGGTTTGCGCGCTGCGCGGTAGCAGGCAGGGAAGTGAGCTTCGTGTCGATTTGATGCAGGAGCTCAGAGAGTTCGCCAAACTCAAGCGTACCGGACTGGTCCTTGTCGTATTGCTCGAAGAGCTTGTCAAGGCGGCGGAGGTGGTTCGAGGCTTGAGGGAAACGCTTGCGGATGCGGGTTGCTACTTCGCGCCATTCGCGGAAGGTCAGGTGCAGCTTCTCGGGGTCCTTGCCCTTCTCCCAGGCGATGGTGCGCAGGAAGGACATGATGTTGCCGGCGAGGTTGTTCTGGACGGTAGAGCAGTCGCCAATTGCGTAGACATCGCCAAGGGGCGCGCCGATGAGACGAAGGTGGGAGTCTGTTTCGAGGGCATGCTTGTTGTTTTGGGATTCAAGCTTGTCGGAGAGGCGCTTGCAGAGATCGGCGCGGGCTGGTTAAGGGTGTGAGTGTTTCTGTTGGATAGGCTGGATGTGGGATTTACGTACCGACACCAGTGGACCACAGGCAGAAGCCCATGGGGATCTCCTTCAGGATGCGCTTACCGTCTTCCTCTTGCGTGAAGAGGACTCGGTCGTCGCGGACCTCCGCCACTCTGGCGTTCGTCAAGACGTCGACGTGGTCGCGAGCGAAACGGGACTGTGCGGTCAGTCAGTTATGAGAACTTCTGGGATGCGACGAATGGGGACCCTGGGCTGACCTCAGCATAACGAGAGAGCGCTTCGTCGTAGGTGTTTAGAATGTGACTACGGCTCTGGATGATGTGCACGGAAATCTCATTCCGAAGGATCTTAGGGAAGGAGTAAAGAAGGTCCTCGTTGAGCAGATCGAACAGCTCCGCAGCGAACTCAACGCCAGTCGGGCCGCCACCGCAGACAACGAAGGACAAAAGTCGCTTACGCTCCTCGTCACTGGTCGTAGGCAGACAGGCAAGCTCCATGTTCTCCAAAACCTTGTTCTTAATCTTCCGGGCATCATCGATCGATTTCAGGAAGTGGCAGTTGTCCAGTCCCTTGACGCCGTGGGGGTTGGTTACACAGCCTAAAAAATCGGAGAAATTAGTTTCACGGAATATTAGTCCGGCAGAGGGTAGGGAAGTTTCGAACGTACCGACACCGATGACTAGCTTATCATAAGGCAGATAGAACCTCTGCTCCTGGCCATTGGCATCTAGTTGAGATACCTCGACCAACTTCTCGGAAAAGTCAACGTCCTGAGCCTCTCCCTTGAGGAAATGGCCATGCACCCGCTGCACGATCCGACGAACAGGCTCGACAAGCGACCTCAAACCCAAAGTTCCCACCGTCGCAGACGGCAGCATCGGAGTGAACAGGAAGTAGTTGGTAGGGGACACGACCGTGACATGGTAGTCGCCGGGGTTGAGATGTTTCAGAAGCGCGATGCTACCCCAACCCGTACCCAGGATGACCAGGCGGGGCTTGTCCTTCTGCTCCAGCTTAGCCTCTGAATCACTGTCTCCAAGCAAGACCTCCGCGATGGGGAGGTTCTTAGGTCCACCGCGCCGGGGATTCAGCGCCAATTCCGAAACGGGGATGTCCTCCGCACTCGAGTTTTCGCGGTAAGTGGTTGCATCGTAGATGAAGAACGCCACGACGGCAGCACCGCTCATGACAATGAAGAAGCCGCAATAGGCAAAGGACTTGAAGACGGCATTGCGGAAGGAAGATCTCCGCGTAGGTTCGCTGGCTTCAGGGGTTGTAGAATTATGCCGGACGGAGTATTGGGGGTTGAAAAAGGCACGCGACGCCAAGCATTGAGCTGTCGCAGTGCGATGGGGTAACCGGGTTCGGGATGCCGC